GATTTCTGACTCTCATTTGACTTCTCAATCAAATGCTATTTTTGTTTGTTTGTTTTTCTGTTGGGTTGACTTGAGTGTTTCTTCATGCTGAACTTTCTGTTCCAATTCAGGATCACATTAAATGAACCAGTCAGAATTAAAGACCTCTAATTTTCACCTCCCACATTACCATTTAGATGCCGCAATTACATCAGCACGTCTGGTTATTAAGGATTGCTGCTCTGTGGAAACCAAAGCAGTTGTAGTGTGATGGCCGCATGAGGACATTGGTCCTCTGAGAGGTGCAGAAATTTATACAGATGAAATGTTGTTTGTCCCTTTTTGGCCGGATTGTTGAACCTCTTTCAGCCTTGGGCCAGGTCAGGTTCAGAGATGTTCCTATAGACCATACTGCAGTGGTGGGTGGAACCAAGAGCAAAACGATAGAGGGGCAGGGAGACCAAAAAGGCAAGATGTGCTAGATCACCTGCTAGATAAATTGCACCGGTACAGGTGGACTTCCACACCCCTCTTTTGCATAGAAACTTCTCTAGCAGTCTGAAAATGCTACTCGGAGTGGCAGAAGAACCAGCTGAATGTGGGGAGCTGTGTAATGGGGGCTGGAGAACCCCCAAAATCAAGCAGCTAGACCTTCCAAGAGTGCTGTTGTGGACGGATCCTTCCTCTTATGAAAGGCAGATCCTGGATCTCGCCCATCCCTGCCCCACAACAACTCTCAGCATACTTGGAGTTCTGGGCCTTTTTTCTCTCTAAACATGCAAAACACTCTTCCAGTAATTAAGCCTTAGAAGAGCCATTTCAAGCATATGGAATGGAGAAAAATCTGTACAAAAGCTGAAACCCACAACTGATGAGCAGTTGGGGGGAACGGAAACTCAATGGAAGGAGGTGACTCAGCAGGGACTCCCAGTGGGTCAGTTCTGCCCTCTTGGCCTGAGCTTCTGCATCCATGCTTTATGAGCCTAATTCCCCTCCAGTACATTGAGCCCCTGCGAAAGTCCTGTGACTGGTCCAGAATTAAGCAGGGTCAATTCCTTGGACTGTGGAGTCTCATGATGCACATCGCTCTGACTTCTACTTCGTCGCCTCTGAAATAAGCATCTCTGAGTTAGGGCCAGGCCTTAAACCACAGCCTCTTGAAAAATCCACCGAGTTGCCCACAGAGCCACTCCACCATGTGGACCACTTCTCTCTGGTGGCAAGCTACATAAATTGCCATTTAACCGGCAGCCAGGAGTCTGCAAGGGAGATTGGATCCACACAACAGCAGCAATCCACAAGATATGGCTTTCTGCAGGCAGAGGCTGTTTCCGGCAGCCGTGAAATGGCATCATAGCAGAAAGGAAGCCGTGACTTAGAGCAGGATCACTGAGGGGAGGGTAAAGTCTCTTTTCTCCCTCCGAGCGCTGGTCACCAAGATCACACTTTCCTCGCTGATAGTGGTGGGGAAGCAGCAGTCTGTTCCCCGCCATCCAGGGGAATCTGCAGCAAAAAAAGGGGTGGTGAAGAGGGCAGAGAAGGGCCGCTTGCTTGCAGTGGGCTGCAGGTTGTCATCCACAACCCATGAAACCCACCAGCACTGACAGTGCTGCCTGATGCCACGATCCTGTGGCCACACAGTGGCAGCATTTGTTTGGTGAGACATGCCATGGATGAAAACCAGTTTGATCTGGCCAGTGGAGAAAAGGGGCAGGTTCCCTGTACCTTTTGTAGGTGTGTCACAAGAGAATGAGAGAGAGATGGTTTGGGTCCCCCTGTGGAAGGAGGACCAGAGCAGTGGTCTTTCCAGCAGGCAGAACACCATTTTAGGAAAGTTTTAAAAGAAACCTGTTACGTCAGTCTGGCAGCCACTTCCCTTCTACACTGAAGATCCTTTTCTGAAGCTCGCACATCCTGTAGACCTATCAGATTCCCAAAAAGGAGCGTGTTGGCTTACCCGCACCAACACTGCTTTTAATAATGGACCAAGGACAGCACTTCTTTAAAGTATATATTTTTGAAAGTAAAAGCACTTTTCTTAAATGCAGCTGCTTGGCCTGGTAAGAAGGCAATTTGTCATCATGCTCTGAGCATCCAGGGGAGATCGCCTAAAAGGAAGAAGAATCGCCAGAATCGCCATTAGCAGGACTCTGTCAAGAGGGAAGGAATGTGAGCTCTGGAGCAGCATTTGTCTGTCAACAGAGGACTGCCATCTGATCCTGCTGTAGGGACACTCTGCATCGCTGATGGAAAAGCAGTGAAGCTGCTTCTCACATCTATGATGTGCGGTGCCTTTGCTATTGGAGTGAGGAAGGAAAAGCAGCCATTGTGTCCCTAATACTTCCCTAATACTTAGATTTCACTGTTCTTTCCTTAACTCTGTTGGATTTGGTAGCTAATCATATCCCCCATTTAAATGCTAATCTCTCTCAGTGGCAGGCCCATTTTGCATAGAACTTGGCTTTTCTGGTGCAATAAAGCATAAGTGCAAAGGGTAAAATATCCAGCAAGACTCCTCAGGGCTTTCCTCCCTTTATCTTCCCAGGTGGCGAGAAAAGCTAACGATCATGTGGAGAGATGAATAATTCCCTGGAAATGCCCATTCGCTTTTAAATTTGGGGAGGGGGGCCTTCGTCCAGTCCTGGTGCCCACTGCTCAGCTCTGTTTGGGACTCCAGCTCGAAATAAGACCAGGTGGCCACTTACCAGCAGACGGAGGGTGACACCAATCTGCATAATATTTGTTTATGCTAATTTAGATGTATACTAAGAAATAATAACTGTAATTTACATAGAAATTTAATTAAATACCGGTAGGATGTGGAAGACTGGCTGGGTGACCTGTGTTCCTGCCCAATCCTCTCTTTGGCTGCTGTGGATGGGCAACATATCTTTAAGCTGGACTTGGACTGTCCAAGACCTCCAGGTAGAGGTACAATAGGATACCTGCCTCTCTAAAATTAGAGGAAGTCCTCCCATGTTGTTTACAGGTTCTGGGGTATTCAAACTATTAAACAAAAGATAAGAGGCCTTTAATAAAATCTGTAAGCTCCCCACACTGACTCCTGCTCCCCTGAGTTAAACCAAATTATGGGCTCACCATAAGTCTCCACAAGCCTCACCATAGCTCAGGAAGCTGGATCCAATCTGTGATTCTGCATATCTTTCCCAGGATAGACAGTGCCACCTGTAATCCCACTGCAGACCAATTCTTGTAGCTTTCCCTGAGCCTGGAGGCCTTCGGATGTCTTGGACCACAACCTTGACCATTGGCCCTGCTGGGTGGAACTGGTAGGCATGACAGCCCCAACACCTATGGGACAACAGACTGGGAAGGACGGTGTTAAGCACTGATGACTTAGACATGTACTGAAGGCTTCACTGGTCAGCTTGAAGGTTCAGATGCAACTTCAGGGCTGGGTATTCTTCACGCTTCGCTCACAGGCCTGCCTGTTTCGGGCCACGCCGGCTACCCTGCATGCAGGCAGGAATGCCTGTGGAAATCCGCACCGTTGTTAGGTAGCTTGTCAGGATGAAAGGACTCCCAGCAAAGCACAAGGTGAGTATGCCCTCCATTTGCATCCTGAGTATAAAAGGAGAACCGATAGGTAGGAGAGCAAAGCGAAGCCTTCATATCAGAGAAACCTTCAGAAAACAAGTCTCTCCTGTTGCCATCGGGCACTGATAAGCTGCTTAAAGAAACGAAGTCCCTCAGCTGGGGGGCTGGTGTTGCACTTAGATCTTTTCTCTTCAGAAGTGCAGGCAGGGCTGGCACATTCAAAGGGCCTGTTGCTGGAAGATGCCGTATGCTTTTCATCACCGGGCTTTATTCTGATTCTTAATTGGCATATTTCTAACTGGCTTTGATCCGCTGTTCCTTCTTTTAAGGGGGAAAGGGAAGGGAACGCAGGGACCATTAGGAACCACTTGTCCTGGTGAGTCCATCTGTTGTTGGGCCTCTTGCCTTTCAAGACGAGGCTGCCGCCGAGTGTCTCCTAGCAGCGGATGGACGCGGGCATCTGCTGGCATTGCTTTGCACGAGTGTTTCTGACGGATCCGACGGGATGCTTGCCAGCGCTGCTGAGGAGGACAGGCACACGCCCAAGGAAAGTGGCGCTGAGGAGCAAACTTGACGCCAAGTCAGATGCCTATTACAGACCCAGCAGAAGCTGCCAGCAGTCTCACACACCACCGGCTGCAAGCAGCTTTGCTCCGAAATGCTAGCATGGTGTAAGAGCTGCTGTCGGGATGAACTGGAGGAGCGGTGCATTCTCCTTTGCTACTCTTGATGACAGATGGGCCCTTGGAATGGAAAAGAACATGATAACTTTGTTAGATTACCGAAATTCTCTCCACTTTCCCCAGGAGTAAGATTCCTAGTTTGCTATTGGAGGGAAAAAACGCATAATTCTCTCCACAGTTTCAACTCAGACCTCTAAAAGCACATGAGATGTAGCTGCTGACTGCAGTAACCCAGGGGTGGATTTGGTGGTTGTTGCGTGCTCCCCTTCCTTTTGCCGTCTGTCTCGTATCAGAAAATATGTCACTTGTTTCAGTGGCTCTTCCCTCGATGCATCCTTTTTTGGCTCCAGAAGACCACACCGTCTCAGGCCAGGAGATGCAGATACAGACATACACAGAGAGCCTTGCAAAACATCTGCTAAAGCTGGTAGAGAGATAGAGTCTGCTTTTTCATGCTGGCTTTTATTATGCTTAATAAACCAGTTGCTTTAAACATGTGTGCGTTGTTGCTGCTTGCCCCTATTTTATATTTCTGTTTTTATTTTATTGTGTTTTACATATTTTGCAGACTATTTTGAACTAAGTGTGGAGAGGGGAAATACTTTAATCACTCCATTATAGATATGATGTCAAGTCTGCCTATTTGCTGTTTTCAATGAAATGGTGACATGTTAGGCACCCTGTTTACAAAATGCTGGAATATTTATATCTCCTTAACAGAGAGTGCAGAAGGGGATAGTCCACTGACGTCTGCTTCATCTTGCTCTTCCCTTCCTCTAGGTTGATCCTTACCTGCCCTATGAGTACACATCTGAAGGAATGCTGGAACGAATTCATGCCTACATTCAGTACCAGGTAGCTGATTTGCAGCTTATTCTGACTTGACATGGAAGGCAGTTGTGTTTCATTCATGCTGAATAGGTGGTAAAGACAATTGTTACCAATGTGGATGTACAGACACTGTAAAATCCATTCCATGTTTCATGGATTTTCAGACATATTTCATTCTGTCATCCACTCCTTGACAGAATCAGATTTTGCAAAAGTCTGTTCGTACACATTTGGGCAAATTTGGAGTGGCACAAATTTGTACTCTCCAAAATGCTCACTTCACCCCCAAATACAAATATCTCTAGAAAATTTGTGTTATCATGGTTTAACCTATGGGGAATTTTTGGTATATTTTATGTATTTTTCTACAATTAAATATGTATGCAGTTGTGTGTGCAACATAACATAAATCAGTCTGTAAGTCCACAGTATCCATGCAACTTGGAAAAGCTAGTCTGCAAGGCAGATTCTTTGAAATCTGAGTTCATCTGAGCCTACTGTGGATTTCTCCAGCATGCACACTACTCCCCCCACCCCACTTTTCAACCAGTAGGTATATTTAATGGCTCAGGAGGAGGGCAAATGGGGGGGCATTTTTCCTGCTCCCTCATTCTGAGGTATTCTGGGGAAGTAGAAATAGGAATAACTGGGCAATTCTGTTATGAAATGTGTTCTTTATCAGAATTAAATTCATTACCTGCTAGGAACCTTTCCTAAACTTGGGTCCCCAGATGTTGGACTATGACAGTCCTTAGTCATGCTGTCTGGGGATGATGGGATTTATAGTACATCTGAAGACCCAAGGTTGGCTCTTCATTTATGAGCTTTATTCCTGATATAATTGTAGCAGTTGAGTTTCATCTATTTCTTCATGGCTGGGCTTTCTTTTTCCCCTCCTGCTCCTCACCCAGCCCTCCCTCAGTGCTAACAGTTACTATTTTCAATGCATGTGCTGTTGCTTGGTGTTTGGGAGGTGGGAGAATGATGTGCTCTGGTGCCTTTTGGAGCACCAGCTTTGGAGCTCCAACTTTATCCAAGTAACCCTGGGAATATTTGTGAGCATTATCTGGGTAAAAGCCAAGGGTGTGATCTGGTCCCTCCTGCACTGGTGAGGGTCTTAACATGCCTCTTCCCCAGCCCCAGGGCTGGATTTGTGCATGTGGGAAGCTGCCTCTTATGGAATGTGCCCATTGGACCACCTGGTCCAGATGACTGACCTACTCTAACTGGCCGTGGCTTTCCAGGCCAGGTCTAAGGCTGAGATCTTTCCCAGTCCTGCTACCTGTGATGTCTCTCACTGGGGCTGCCAAGGGCTGGACTGGGGACCTTTTGCATGCCAAGTATGTACACTGCTCCTGAACTGCGCTGCCTTCTGACATGCCATGATAACAAGTGGCGAGATGCTAGATAGCATTTTGCATGTATCAGGACCCGTTGAAATGTATGAACTGAGTGCAGTTTGGATTAATTCAGACCAACATGGCAAGTACTTAGACCCGCAGGGGTTACTGAACCGACTGTAGCTCTCAATCAGTCAGTTTAAGAAGGCAGGACTGGGTCCCCACTTGGAGTACTTCTCCGTGTTCCTAGGGCTTCCTGCAGGGTCCCTTCAGAGGCACCATCTGGAAGGGGCAGAAGGAGATGCTGAATCCCCATTCTGCAAGCAATAGCTTTCTGTGGCTGGAACAAGGTTCTGGGTCTGAGCTGCTGAGGCTGCGACCCTACAGCCACCTACAGTATCTGGGAGGCAGGCCTATTGAACTCAGGGTGACTTACTTCTGAGTAGATACAGCCGGGATTGCACTGTCATGGACCTGACACATTGAATTTACTGGGCTTCGTAGTACGTTCTGTGCAGACATGTACTCTGCAAAGTGTCTCTATAAAACCTCTATTTTTCTACCCTGATAGGACTTCTGTACCTTACCTGCTCTGCCAGAGAAGCCCAAGGGCCACACTATGCAAAGCTCTACAAGCCCATTCAGCCTGCAGCCCAACGCCACTTACCTCGCATGGTCTCTCAACTCCAGCAGCAGCCCCCCCGTTTGGCCCCCAGTAAACTCCATGCAGGTGTGGATCTCAGACACGGGGCAGGCATGCACCAGTGCCTGTCAGCAGCATGGCTTGGTCTGCGAGCCAGAGTTTTTCAAGTTCATCAACAGGAAAGAGGTGTTTCAGCAGTAAGTCTGTTGGGTCTCCCATCTTTCCCTTCTCCCTGCACTCTCTTCTTTTTTTGTGTCGTACCATGTATCAGGCGAAACCTTTCTGTCTTCAAGCTGTGGGGCAAAACTGTGAAGTTCAATTTTTTATCTCCATCTGAAATGTTGTTGACATTTAGGTAAGACTATATTGAAAAAAGGGTGTTTTGTGTCACAAATGGAACCTTGCAGCAAAATTCACTGTTTCACAGAGCTCAGTATGTGCTGGCAAAATTCACATTTTGGCTCTTCAGCCTGTACTTCCTAAGAAATTGGTTTGCTTTAGACGTAAAAGTGTATCTTGACTTGAATTTTGACATTATTGTTGTTTTACAAGGACTAGTTAACAACCTTGAGACAACAGCAATATCTCACTGCACAAAATTCTAGCTGGCCTCCCTCAACCATGGTTTGTTGCCCTGCCCAAGGTTTATGTGGTAGATGACTGAGCAAACCATTGTTTGTTTTCTGAAGCACCGGACTGTTTATTTCTCCTCTTCTTCATCTTCTCCCTCCCTGTATCCCAAATACTTTTGTGGCACTGCAGTGTTTGCATGTAGAGGGGTTTGCTTGCTTGTTTTTTACCACTCTTGTCCACTGCATCTGTAGCCTGGTAAAACTACTCATGAACAGCACACAGTTTTACGGTTCACACATTACAGCAATGCAAGGTTTAAGAACCTAGACTTCATAACCTAACAACAACCCACAAAGTTGTTTGTGGCAACCAAACCACTGGAACAGCTCAGAATCCAGCAACCCATGGGCCAGCATTATGTGTAAACCAGGCCAAGTTGGTTTCACAAGCCTGGATGCTGCTCTTCCCTCATTAGGCCTCATTAGGCCTCTCCCCAAGGCCCAAGAATCCTTCTTGGGTTCTTGCTGAGGCAGAGAATTCCTCTGTGCACAGGCTCCTCTACGACATTTGTTCAGTGCCCTTTGCACATGACACAGCGGACTAAAAATATTTGGACAGGCCTTCCAGTTGTATTGTGTGTGAATGGCTTTCTGTAACTGGAAAAGGTGTTGGGTTTTTTTGAGGCACCGTTATTCTCTTGTCTTCCCCATTTCCGTTTTATCCCTCTGTCTCTGTGAGCATACATTTGGAACACACAGGCACTGACATTTTAATAGAACATAAATCTGCCACCTTGCTTCATACATAGCTCTGGACAATTAAAATGGGCGCATTATCATTTTTGTCACGGCAGCCAGGCAGGCAATTTGAGTCCAAGTGACATTTTTATATGATAAATTAGAGCCAGAGCTCAGATTCTACTTGCTAAGCTACTTTAACTTCTTAAAACCCAACAATTTTTAAGAAATTGCTGGTTCAGAATCACCAGTTCAGATGAGATTTTGTGGAAAAGATACTAGGCCATTTACTGGGCAGCAGCAGCAGTTATGGCATCGCTCCTGGTCTGGGGACCCAATTCGGTGCTCCGGAGGCCATGAGCCTTCCCCAACCCCTAAGGTGGGTTCCTGGCTTTTGTGCAGTCCCCCCGCCCTGCTCTAAATGTGTGAAATGCCTCTCCTAAGAGCTTAGCAACTGGCAGTAAGAGCTCTAAGCTAAAATCGGCTAGATTTTCCTGTGCGTTTTCGACACCACCACTTACACCTTTGGCCCAGCCCCCTTTGCCCTCGTGTGGCCCGAGAGATTCTCTGAAGTTGAACGCGTTGCTTAGGCTCTGTGGAAGGTGCCGGGGTGCATCTCCTTGGGTCGGGGAGGAAGAGCCTCCAAGGAGACGTATCCTGCCTTCTTTCACAAAGGCTGCGTGAGCAGAGGCCCACGTCGAGAACAGAGGCCCCACATCTGCCGCTGCAGTTTTGAGGGCCTCTTCGAAGCACCGTGTCTGCTTTTCTAATAGCATCATCCAACTATTTCTGGATGGATAAATTTAATATATTTATATTAAATTTGACACTGTATTAAGTTATATTTGACACTTAGATTGTGATAGGTTCCCATTAAGGTTACTTCTGACTGCATGACAAGATTCTTGGGGAACCGGCTTTCCCATGGATCAGGGAAAAGACAGAGAAATAGGGTGCAGCATTTTGGCAGGTCTGTCAGTTTCCCCATGACCTGGGAAGAGCACAGATTAGGAAAGTAATCCCAAAAGCTTTTCGGGCCTAAGGGAATGTGCCATGATGTGCGATAGTGATCATATTGTTTTTGAAAACACAAGACGGTATAGAAAATAGATAGGTAGGTAGGTAGGTAGATAAGATGTTGCATTGTCCTCAGTGTGGTGGCCAACAATATGAACCAAGTGTTGCATGTTGACTTCTAGAGCCATCAGCCAGTCTGTCGCAGGGGGTGGTAGTTGTAGCCTGCCACCCACCTGCAGGGCAGCAGCCTGCACTGATACCCTTGCCACTTGGGCACAGAGGGGGTTTCATGGGTCAGGCTGGAGGCTCCCGCGTTAAGTACTGGGGACTGCAGGGTGTTCTAGAGCAGGGGTCTCAAACTCGCGGCCCGCGGGCCAGTGGCCGGGCCGGGCAGGGCATGGGGCGGGGCCCTGCGGCCTTCAAAGTGCCTCCGGGAGCCACGCGGGATGAGCGGCCCACCCCCACCGCTTGATGCGGCCCAGCCTCACCCAGACTCTACTTCCAGCGGCCCCCAGGTCAGTTGCGTTTGAGACCCCTGCCCTAGAGCCAGGCTGGAGGCAGGGTATGCTGTGCAGTGGCAAACACCCAGGCAAAGTCTGTAAAAGACGAAATGTGATCACAAAAGCAACAGAGACCTGTAGCACCTTAAAGATTATTTACAACTTTATTATGCCATAAGTTCTAGCAGCTCATGAAAGCTATCCCAGAATATGTGCTTTGATTTTTAAGGCGCGACAGGCAGAACTCGGCTCTTTTTGCTACAATGGGCTGCAATCCTAAATGCCCCACTTCCGGAGGGGCAAGTCCCATGGATGCCATGGGATGACTTCTGAGTGAGCATGCACAGGGTGGCTGAGGGCATTCTTCTGTCTCAGCCTGCACAGGATCAGCCCCCAAAGGTATTTTCAAGGCCACGTGAGATGATGCAAGGACTGGGTCTCCATACATTTTCACTCTTACCTTAAAGAGGCTGCGATGGTGAGGGGGCTCCACGTGCCATCCGAGCAGCCTTGTGGCCAGCAGCATGCGTAACGCTTCCCCCGCTGCCGTTTTCCTGCCCTCAGCCCCGCAGGTACCTGTACGCTTTTCCCACAGGGCTAAGAGCGAGTGGGTAAGCGCTAGAGAGGAGCACAGCAGCACCCTCACTTACGTGGCCCAGCATCTGATCCTAGAGGTGTCCTTCAGGGCTAGAGGCCATTTGTAGCCTTAGCCATGGATAGCCTCCTAGAGGACTAGAGGCTTGATGGCTAAATGATGTCTCCAGCGTCAGAGGCAGCATCCCACTGTACAACACGCACTTTGTGGGCTTCCCGCCCTGCTGGCTGGCCAATGAGTGAACGGAATGCAGGACTAACTGGGCCTTGGCCTGATCCAGCATCACTCCTCTTATATCCTTATGGCAGCATGGGGAAAAGCGATGATAAATAGCCCCTCTGACTGCTCTGATCAAATGTTGAGCTCCCCGGCGCCCTTAAATTTAAAATAAAAACTCCAGTCACAGTCCTTCCAAATCATCTATAATCAGCCCTCAGCATACACCTAAGATAAGTGTCAAGGCAAACACACTCCTGCGCACACACCGGTGTCACACAGGTTTACTCGAAAGAGATGGAGTGGGGGATGGTCCTGCTGCAATGGCAATCCTGGGTCTGTTGCTGCGTGACGTGTGAAGTGGCCCTGGCATTCCTTCCAGGGACACCCCATCTTGGGAGTCCTGCTGAAGCCCACCACAGTGCCCTCTTGCCCTGCACCCCCTTCAACACATCTGCCCTGTGTTTCCCCCTCCAGACTCAACATTGTCTGCGACAGCACCGAGTCCGAGATGAATCACCTCTACCCGGCCGTGGCTGAAAACGTCCGGGAGTGCTATCTCCAGAAGGAGCCCCTCTTGTTCAGCTGCGCAGGCTGCAATACCAAGTATCAGCGCCTTTGCCCGTGTCGCGATTACCGGAAAGGACAAGTGGCCCTCTGCAGGGACTGTTTGTGATCCCACCGGAGCGCGTGCGTGTCATGATCTACCACATGCAACAAGTGACTTTGGTTTTGTTTGGTTTGGGTTTTTTCATAAAAGCTTCTGCAATAGTCAAGAAGTTTTCCAAATGGGATCATCTTCTTGGAGACTTGTGAAAATACTTGGATGTCAAATGAAACTTCATTGGTTGTTTTGCCTACCTGTCAAGGGTTGAACGATCCATTCCCAACATCACTTAAAGGCATGTCTCCTACTGCATCCAAGACCACCGGAGACTTCAGAAATTTCAAAGGACCATGCTGAAAGCTCTTCTGGAGGGCAAGGCATCACGTTAGGATTTCATCTTCCTTAAGCATCTTTATTTTTTATGAGGGAGGGAACGGTTGACATTAAAGTGGGAAAACCAAGAAATGGTCTGTGAGGAATTATTTGAATTGTTTCTGTTGCAAAATACTTGGCTGGACCTCTGTGGAAAAAGGTTTCTTTCCGCTGCTCTTTCTGGAAGAGTGTGAAAAGGCTGTGTTGAAGGAAGCGAGGCATTAAAATGCGTGTGCTCCTTGTAGTGTGATGTGCAGCACTGTAAAACAGAGAAGCGAGCGGAGTTGCGAGGAGTGAAAGGCAGCCGAAAGGTGGAAGGGTGCAGGCAACGGCCGTACTGACAGCCAGACCACCAGCCCATTGAGCTAACCCTGGTTACACAAACGGATTGAAGCCCTCAGGACTGACAGTATTTTTCCAGAGCTGCAGATACTTTTAATTTGCAAAGGGTGCTTTATCTAATTTTTGATCTGCTGCCCAAGCACTGCCTGCTCTCTGTGCATAGGGGAAACAAAGGCAGCCCTGCCCACGTCCACTTGAGGGCTTGAGATCCGTGATGGCTTTTTAAGGGTGAAAATGAAAGTGCTGCTGGTATCTGAGCAGGGTTAGTTTTTTTTTTAAAGGGTTGCTTCTAATCAAGCAGCTTTTTGAAACATAGGCTGGTGTGGAGCAGTATGGTGCTCCGAATACTAGTCTCATGGGCTGTTCAGCTGCTCCGCTTTCAGAGCAATCTTCAGGCAGCCACATTCCTTCGGTTTAACCTACCTCGTAGGCTTGCTGTGAAACAAAATGGGATGAGAACGTAACATCAGAAACCTATCAGGGGCCCATCCAGCCCAGCATCCTGTGTTCACAGGAACCAGCAAACTATTCCATAAAATTCACAAGCAAGGCACAAGGGGGCTGTTTATCACCCCACACCTCTGTTGGAGGCCCTGGGATCCAGAGGGGAGGCACAGAAGGCAGAGGTGCCAGCTGCCTCCCATGACCGTCTGGCTTGCCATAAATTTGCTTCATCCCCTTTCAAAGCTTCATAGCCTCCAACACATCTTTTGGCAGCATTTTCAGTAAGTTAATTTTATGTCGTGTGAGGCAATGTTTTCCTTTGGCTGTCCTGGAATGACGACGGATCCATGAATTTCACGGGATGATCCTGCGTTCTAGTGTTTGTGAGAGAGGAGAGGCAAAAATAATCTCTGTCCACCTTCTGCAGACTATGCATAATTTTATAAACATGTACCTTGTGTGTCCCACTCCCCTTGCCTCTGTGGTCTTTTCTGAATGGGCACAGCAGTCCTTTGGTCCACTTGCACCTGAGGGTGGCGGGGCAGGTGCAGCCACCACATCCAGCAACCATGGACAGGAGGGGAAAACACACCGCACAGGACATTCCCAAGCAGTCAAAGGGCACAGAGCCGGCTTTTCTACATGAGGCCGTTAATGCACTGTACTTACGTCCGCTTGCATCGCAGAACTGAGACCTGAGCGCGACCAGAGGAGTGCTCCCTTTCCCGCCTTGTGGCCTTCCCTGCAAGGTTGGGGAAAAGGAACCCAGTCTCCCAGTCCCCAGGGAGAAAAAAGCTACACACACGGCAAAGGCGACCCCCGTATTGACCCACGTTTGGGAGCGAGTGACTCCTGCAGAGGAGGAATGTGAGGTTGCCAACCAGCCGTGCCTCACGGGGCTCCTCTGCCTTACATGGTCTTTGCACAAGAGGGAGCAGTGGAACGGTGGCCGTGTCCTGACGGCACCAGCTCCAGAGGAGGGACACCTTTGCCTTTCTCTCAGGCTGGGGTGGGGTGGGGGGGGCACCTGTCTGGAGCAAGCGGGTCTGCCAGCCCACAGAAGCACAGCAGCGAGAAGCCTCCATGCTTCCCTCCCGGCTGGCAGGCAGCAGGGTGCGGGGTGGATGCTGTCTCTGCAGGAGGAGGACAGGGAGCCTGCGGCGATGGGGTCTCCGCATCCTTTCTGCCCCGGGGATAACAGCAGAAGGGTGAGTGTCCTGCGCCAGCAGCGGCTTCTGCACTCACACCTTGCCTGGCCTCCTCGTGGCAGTGCCGGCAATGCCCAGCATTTGCCCACAGATGGCCACCCGCATGGGGGGGGTGCCCTCCTTGAGGGCGGACAAAGTCACTGCTCCCCCAGGTGGCCCGGAGCATGTTGGCAGAGTGCAGACCAGGCAGAGTATTTGCACACAGCCGTGTGGGTCACATCCTGAGATGTGTTCTCAGGCACCTTCACAAACTGCCCTTGGAGAGGGTGAGTGTCCTCCCCCCCCCGCCTTCTCCCTCCCTCCCTCCCGCCTTCTCCCTCCCTCCCTGGCCTCCCAGCTGCTCCCAAGCTCACACCGCCCTGCCTCACTTCCAGGGGCACAGTGGGAAGGGCAGGGCAGGAAAGGCTGAGGTGCTGGGAGGGGGAGGGCCACCGCAAGTGCAACAGTGGTGTGGGGAAGGGCAGGTCCGGGCTGGGCAGGTTCTGGCAGCACCCTGGGGGGCCATGATGGGCGCTACACTGCCGACATTGGGCAAAGGAGGTGGGGGAGATAGAGGACTCGGCCGCTGCAGTTAAACCTTGCGACAAGTGTTGCCCGTCTGCATGGGAAACCTCGTGTGGGCACCAGCACCCCTCCAGTGTTGGAGCTGGAGCAGGGCCTGGAATCCGAACCTTTTAGGAGTCTCAGCAGCGAGGGGCTAGTGATGTGCTCAGGCTCCCCCATGGACAGGAGGGCCAGGCCCTTCGTGCGAAGTGCGAAGCAGTGGGAGCACGGCATAGATGCAACCTGGGGCCAGAGGGCTGCAGCGCACGGCCCGGCGTCCTGTCATCCGAGCTGGGGGGTAATGTGCTGTCATCAGGCGCTGTGATCAGGTGCGTCCCACGTTCTGCCATTGCAACAGGGGCAGGGCAGAGGAGGCAGCGACTCCCCTCCAGCACGCACACCTTGCAGGAGACGCCTCGCACCAGCTCTTGGCCTGGCATGCAGCAGTGCTGTCGGAGCAGGGGTGGCTGTGGCCTGCCGAAAAAGGGGGCATGGCATACAGTCCACCACATCCCACCCACGGCTCTGCCTCCGCTTAACCGTTCCACTAGCCTAGCTCCACTAGCCTGGGATACAGCAGGGTCATGTTTGAGCCTGGACTTCATGGCCTTAAGGGGGGGCCCTCTTTAGCGGGCGGTATGGATTAAGGTAGTTACTTCACAATTTGGTAAGCCAGCCCTGCTGCATTTGGGGTCCACGCTGCTCATTCGGCTTGCTAAATAAATAAATAAATAAATAAATAAATAAATAAAGGGAATGATCCTCTGCCGCTGCTGCACCGCTGTCAGAGATGAGTCCTCATGCTACAGAAGTGAGTGGTTCCAAAAATAACCCCAGAAAGAAATGGCAACACTCATTTCTGTAACACAGCAGGTCAGTGGAGCTCCCTTCTGTGAGTTCTGCTCATTTCTGGATGTTCCTGAAACTGCAATTCCTTGTTACACTCATGGTCACATCTGCTAGCAGTTAGGCAGAATTGGATTCTGCCTTACACTTTTATTCTGCACAATTCAACAGTGTTCACTGGTCAGATTACAAACAGTTAGAAATACAATACATATATTAATTATGTATATGTATACCATGCATATTCATAAACAAATGCAGAATAATTCACACAATACAGGAACAGACAAAGCAGTCATGAACTAAGTCTCTAAAGTGCCTGGGAGAAAAGCAAGTTCTTTGCACAGTGCCGTAAAGACTACAATATAGGTGTCAACTGAACTTTGGGGAAGGTACTCTGTAAATAGGGTGGTACAACTTCAGAAGGCCCTTTCTCCTGTTGCCCTGTTCCTTGCTTTCTTCATCAGGGACATTTGAAGGAGTGCCTCTGATCTGAAGATGACCTCCAAGTCTAAGCAGATACATAAGGGAGGAGATATTTCTTTAGATACTCTGGTCTCGAGCCATTTAGAGTCTCAAAGAGCAACACCTACAATTAAATTGTATCCGAAAAGGACAAGAAAGCCAGTGCAGCTAATGAAGCAGCACATGATCAAGGCAGTCAGTTCCCGTTAGTAACCTACCAACTCTGTTTTGAATTAAATGAAGCTTCCAAAGCACCTTCAGAGTTACTTCCACATGCAGCACATTTCAGCAATCCTGCCAGGAGGCTATCAGAGCATGGATAACTCTCACCAGGCTATCTCTGTTCAGATAGCATCACAGCTGGTATATCAAGTAGCACTGATAAAAGCAGTGTCTGGACACCAAGGACACCTGAGGCTCAAGTGGCAGCGATGAGTCCAGGAGCATGCTCAAGACACACGCCTGATCTTTCAGGGGAGAGCCGTCCTCCCTAGGACACGCTGAACACCACTCAGCCCAGTGGATGAACAGTGTCTGGACTGAGTCTTAGTTCAGTCCCTCATCCGGTCCATTGCTTGCTCAAACACTGATTTGGGACACCCATCGCCTCACACAGAGTGGGTGAAAAGCAGAGATAGAGCTGGGTGACACTGGCACTGGGTGGCATCTCAGCCCACATCCCTGGGTAAGTGGCCCTGGTGGATCCCTGAAGATGCTGAATAGCACCGGGAAGAAGAACAATGAGCAAAGGTGGCTGTACAGGAGTAGCAAGAGGCGGTGGCAGCGAGGGTGCTGCCTCCAGCTTTTGCGCAACAGCAAGGTGGAAATGGGCAAAGAAAATGAAATTAG